TCTCTATACGCAAGGGAACCAGACAGGGGTGCCCTCTATCGCCACTCCTTTTTGACATTGCGATCGAACCTCTTGCCATTGTGCTCCGTGGCAACTCGGACATAAAAGGGGTTCACTCTCAGTCTTATGGACAAAAATGTGCCTTGTTTGCGGATGATCTGTTGCTTTTTGTGACCTCCCCCTTCATTTCATTGCCTAATATATGGCTACTTTGGAGGATTTCACACGGGTATCAGGTCTCCGAGTCAATGCTTCTAAATCGGAGGTGCTCAACGTCAATCTGTCTCCTGAGTTGTGGGCCCGCCTAAGATGCTTCTTTCCTTTTGAATGGCGTTCTGATTTTATTCGATACGTGGTATTAAACTCACACCCTCCTTCACTCAACTGTATTTTGCTAACTACCCCCCACTTTATAAATTACTCAGAGAAGATATGATTAGGTGGTCCTCCTATAATCTTTCCTGGATGGGTCGCATACACGCCATTAAAATGACCTTGTTCCCTATAATTCTATATTATTTCAGGGCATTGCCGATACCTATTCAGCGGGCTGTTTCTTATAAAATTTCAAATGTCTATTGTTACATTTATCTGGGGAGATAAATGCTCTAGAATCTCCAAAGCAACCCTCTTTAGATCAAAGCAACATGGGGGTCTTGGAGTACCTAATTTGCTTCTATACTATCGGGCTGCACAGCTATCACAACTCTCCTCTGTCTACCTTCCCGCAGCCTCTCCTGACTGGGTCAGGATAGAAACTAGCTCATCCATGGGCACTTCTATTGACATATTGAAATGGTTGTCGCCGAGGCAAAGGCTTCTACTTTGTCACATTCAATGGCCTTGTGCGATCGGCTGCGTGGAAAAGATGAGATGGTCTCCACTCACACCCCTCTTGCACCCTTGTTTGGTAATGAGAATTTTTTGCCGGGAATACAGACTAAAGCTTTCCAATGGTGGCTGGACAAGGGATTGTACAGGATTGGGGACTTCTTTCAGTCCCGCAAGACACTGCCTCAATCGTACTTTCAAAATACTCTACAGATGCCACCATCAGAACTGTTTAGATTTAGACAAATACAGCACTATTTACACTAATTAGCTTACATGGTCGCGCACAGTAGTCTGAACTAGGGGGGGCACTCTCTCTTGATGAGTGGCAACAGTGCTCCACTTGTATGACCATAGGATTGCTGAATGTCTCCCTACTAGAAGCTAATTACAAAGTTTTATCTCGATGGTATCTGGTACCTGCCAGTTTAGCGTCTGTTTCAAGGGACTAGCTCGCTGTGCTATAGGGGTTGTAATCAACAGGGAACCATGCTCCATGTCTGGTGGCAATGCCCAAAATTGCGCTACTTCTGGAATAGATTTTTTGCCTTGCTCTTTTGGATCCTTCGTGTACGGGTTCCAAGAGACCCGCAGTATTAACTACTGAATACATCGATTCCAGGGGTTTCTAAAGCGCAAGGCAAACTCCTATCCTTTTTCTTTTTAGCAGCTAAGATCTCAATTGCCCGGGCCTGTAAAGCACCAATGGTCCCATTCTTCACGGTACTGTCTAAGCTCAATTGGATTATGACCCATGTGAAGTTGCACAGTATCCTGCAAGACAGACATAGTCACTTTGAAGCGGTATGGGAGCCCTGGCTGAATGACTCGGGCATCTCGAGTCCTCGTTGAACTCCATCGACCCGCTCAGGTTATTTAAGGATTTTGGTTGTTAGGGTTCTGGAGCCTACTCTCTACTCTTCTCTTTTTTTTTTCCCCTCTACTTTCCTCTTTCTCATTTTTTTAAATTTTCTTTATAATGACATGTGTGACCTCGTTAGCTAAACAGTATCGAAGTATGTTGCTGTGTTGAATCAACACTGAACTCCATCGACCCGCTCAGGTTATTTAAGGATTTTGGTTGTTAGGGTTCTGGAGCCTACTCTCTACTCTTCTCTTTTTTTCCCTCTACTTTCCTCTTTCTCATTTTTTTTAATTTTCTTTATAATGACATGTGTGACCTCATTAGCTAAACAGTATCGAAGTATGTTGCTGTGTTGAATCAACACTGTTGTTGATTCAACACAAGATTTAAGTATCCCCCAGGAACAGTGTAGACTACTATTTTGATATATTCCTGAACTAATTGTAGTGCCTCATTGTTCTTGCCCAACTACGTTGTGGGGGGTGATGCAGATTTGATTCTGTTGTGTATATGCCTTTATACTTGTGTTATACATGTTATTTAATGTAACAACCTATTCCTTTTCAAGGAAAGAAAAATATGTAAAACAATAAAAAAACTTTGAAAGTAAAAAAAATAAAATATATAGCATATCTAAATGCTGTCCAAGTAATTTAATGTTGTTAAAAATTACATTTCCATTTAAAACGGCAGCCTCTGTAATTTTCTAAAACCTTCAAAACATTTCAGTGTGATTATAGTGACCTTTGTACAAAAAAAACAGAGTTTCCTAGCACACTTACCAGCTTGCAAAAAAAAGCCAACAAATTAGACTGTAACTATTACGGTTAAAAACATAGGTTTTAGTTGCACAACTTTTGCACAACAAAATACTGTATGTGCACGCTACACTCTCATCAAGGCACCTCTGTATAGTGTGGTCTTTAATGCTAATCTATGAGAGCCTCCATCTTGGAGCATATACAGCAAGGGATGAATTCGGTGCAGGTTCACCAGGAGGCAGCCCATTCTTCCTAAAGGCACAGGGACACAAGCTCATCACAATGGCAACTGAAGCCCCCAGTGTGTCCCCACACCAAATCCAACAAATGAAACAAATGGCGAACGTACTCATCAATTTTCTGTTTCTTGAGGCTTGAGAAAAGAAGGCTCTGCCCCTGAAACGCGTTGCCAACTCACAACCAGAGGAAGTGGGTGTGTACATGGATCTGATGGAAAACAGTTGCTGATAGGAAGTGAGCACCAGTCTCTGCGGCACATGCTAGGTGTTAGCAGTCTTGCAAAGTGTGTGACCGCTTACAAGCGCTTTACCTGGTACATTCATGTGAGTGCATTTATTAATTTATTGCTTTTTAATTAAGTGTTTTATTGCGCTAGATCCTTGTGCCTCCTTTTTCCTTTGTCTTTCAAAGATCAAAAGTATCCCTTGTGTCTTTGAGGAGAGCTGCAATTGGATCTGGACTTAAGGAGTACAAACCAATTTTTTCTACCCAAGACTACACCTTGCTTGTAAAGGACTTGAGCGCACATCTGATCAGACTGTTTTTTTTTTTAGTGAATTACACTCATCCCCATAGTTAGAGCAGACATGACACAGTTTCAATGATCAAGAAATCACTGTCAGTCACCGCTCCCCACAAGGATTCCCCCCACCCCTCTGCGATCGTCCAGGGCTGACTGGAGGATCGGAGTGAGCACCAGTCTAGACATAGTTGACTCTGCCTCTAGATAAGCAGAGCACGCTCAGCCAGTGGGGTGGATCTCAACAGTATTGTCAGGATCTGTCCCAGCTGCGGCGCTCTCAGCATATAGCGGGTCATGGATGTTAGTATATGTTCTCCCGGGACTCTAAAGAGAACTATGGGGAAAAAAAGGTTACCCCATAGTTCTTTTAATCTTTTTACCGATTTAATCATTCAGTATTGGCTGAAGCCAGCTTTGGTCGCAAGGTCCTAGAGGTGACAGTCACTTGAGGGTTTACCTTGGTATATTTTTTACAGACACTTGTCGACACTGCTTTTTGATGTTCCAGCAGACGAAGAATGTATTCCCCAATAAACTACTGGAAAAAGTATTTTACTGTGAAAAACTTGTATGATCACATGCTTGATATCGTCCCCTTTTTAGTCTCCATATAGCAGCAGCTTATTGCTAGAGCCAAGTATGTTCACGTGAGTGCACAGGTCAAATGCAGAGGTGCATTTCAATTCACATACTCCCAGAACCGAGAGCATAAGTGTCACTCCAGGCACACTGTAAACATGTGTAAGTTAAAATAAGACCGTTTTACCTGCCAAAGGATTCACAACCCTTTATAATTTTGTGATTTACGCACATTTTCCATAAAATTCTAATAAAGCCATTCATATTTCTGATCCAGCAGCAACAGCATCTTCCTTTGTTACCTTCAGCCTCCAGATTGAGTAAAGCAGCCTAATTCCTATCCAGTGTGTATAAGCTTATCTAGAAAGCAGTAATGCTAGGCCAGTAGATGGCAGACTGATGCTTTCGACTGGAAGAATGGATGGCAAAATTTACAAATAATTTGGCAGGTAAAATAGTAAACCTCTTTGTGTTTTAGGCATGTATTTAGCTCTTTGCTTGGCGTTCTATGAAATTCCAAGCAAAAGCAGCTGGTTAAGAGGGCACCATTGTGGCATCATTTTAAGAATTTACAGACCCAGATTATTATTATTACATAGTATTTATATAGCGCCAACAGTTTGCGCAGCGCTTTACAATAAGAGGGTGACCGAAGTAGTTTTGAGGGAACAGGATCCAGGGTGCAAATGGTGAGGTGGGTGTCAGAGAGAAGCTTAGTAACCCCCTCTGTGGTGACGGGGTCAAAAGAGGAAAGTAACAAGTGTGATGGAGGATCAGGTACTATAATAAAAGGGGCAGTTGATTGGACAGTGGCGATCTGATAACGAATGGTATCTATTTTGTTTTTGAAATGAATGGAAATGTCCTGGGCAGTGAGTGAGTTAGTGAGTGAGTTAGTGGGTGGTGGTGGTGGAGGACATAGTAGAGACTTGAAGGTAGAAAAGCGTTGACGAGGTGTGGATGAGAGTGACAAAAGTTTGTTTGGCAGCACGGAGGGAGGAGTTATATTTTATCAGGGCAGCTTTGTACAGGGTAAAGTCTTGCAGAGACCTAGTTTTCCACCACAGTCGCTCAAGAGTGCGGCTTTGTCTTTTTTGATGTTTGGTAACTTCAGTTTGCCACGGTTGTAGGCAGATGCCAGAAATAATAGTGCATTAAAATGTACAAAATGTATTCTGTTTTGTTTTTTCTTTTTATGTAGGTACAGCATGTTATTAAGACAAGCCATCCGAAAGAATGTCAAGAACTTGATGATTTACTAAGCACACCACACATCCAGGTAAGGCAACCACTGTTATCTAGTTTTAGATTTTTGGTTAACCATTGAAAGAAGGCAAAATAGATGGCAACTCCTTGTGTATTGCTTTGTAACTAACTACAGCTTAAGTGGTCAGAAGATAAAGAATTCTCTCCCGTTTGTTTAAGCACTTGAAATACACAGCTTGACCAGTAATCCCAGTTCCACATGTTTTCATTCAAGGGCAAACAATAGAGTAATTGTGAGGAACACATATTTTTTTTTTTTCCTTAGTTTCTTCTTTTATACTTTTCCTTTTTCCTCATGTTTTATTCTTCTTTTCTTTATCTGTTTCATTCATCTATATCTGTTCTTTCACTATTTCCTAATTTAGTTCTAGTTTAGTTCAATAAAAATTCTGTTCAGATCTCAAATACAGAGTTTTCTAATTGCATCTGGTTTGGGAACAAAATTTGGTTCTGTATAGTTCAGTTGGCCCTCTCATGGGCAGAGGTAATTGATGCCTAGATGCTAATGCAAAATGTAGCAGCATCAGCTAACTAGCTAACCAACAATAACTCTTACTTCTTTGCATACCTAAATCCTTTTTTGTATTTTTAAGGATATGTAAGGCTTTTACTTGGTATAGTGTTTTACTAAAATCCTTTTTTTATATATATACTGCCGAATACACAAAAATGTAATTTTTTACTATTATTTAAAATTAGAAATTAAAAGAGAACTATGGCCCAACCTTTTTTTGACATGGTTCATCTATAGAGCTGGTGTGTGACAGCTTCAGTGTCGCCCGTCAGGTCTAATTATGGGGATGAGTGTATTTCACTCTCCCCATAATCCTCCTTTTAACACTGATTGATTGCACTGCATTCTCGAACTGCAGGCTTAAGATGGCAGTAATTATCTGCAGGCTCAAGGCTTTTTTTCTTATGCTGGATGTTTTCAGTAAAAAACTGATTGCACTGTAGAATCCTGCAGCATGGAGGTGACAGTGCTTACGTGCAGGTTCAAAGATTTTAGTTTTTCAGCGATGTCTTCAGCCTGCATATGATCACCATGTCAAAGCTGACAGTAATCAAATGACCTGAAAATACTCTGATCCCGTTCACAATAGCCATTGACAGCTAGCATTGGGAGACACCAACCACACAATGTGGCTCTCAATAGGGAGACATTCATAAACACATTCCCAGCATGGGGCACTGTGCTTAGGGGTGTTTATTTACAGATTGCTTGCAGGAAGGGGATAAATCATGGTGTCTGCAGGCTTTGGCCCAGTTGACATCTAATTTGGTGCCTTTTTTTTCCAAATTCTTTATTTTAAAGACCTCTGACATACAGGCAGTACAACAACAAAAAAAAAAAATATAAACTCTTTGGATAGCGTTTGTACATGTACCAAGACGCAATAGGTTCCATAAGCAGAATAAGCAGTGAAAATATAGGAAGCGATCGCACATCACAGCCTGCCTCGTGTGGTTTTTTAATTAGTAATTCAGTTCTACAAATGCTTCAGTTGGCAAGCTAAATTCAGGGTTTGTTGAAATGCATCCAAACAAATAATGACGTTTAATCCCAAGTCCGGCCACAGTTACCTTACTTGGTTTACAGCAACGAAACATTTCTGTTCCTCAAAAATCACTTGCTGTCGTGCAGGCATACTTCTATGTCCTCAGAATCAGTTAGGCCTGGTTCACACCTAGGCGTTTTAATTTTTGCACGTTAATCACATAATATTTTTTGGTGCGTTTTTGCTTTAAAAAACATGTGTTTCCCTGCATAGAGATGTCTATAGGTCAAAAACCGCATGACATCCACCTGAAAATAGCTCCTGCATCTTTTCATGCGACAGGCGTTTTGCTAGATCAACAGCGCTAAGTTGTGAACAGCCACCATTCACATTGCATGGAAATGTGCGTTTTGCGCGACTAGATCCGCGTGGAAAAACAGGTGTGAACCAGGCCTTAGTTTACATGCCAGGATTAGTGTTAGTAAATGTATTGCTGTGGCATACAATAACTCCTCTGCAAAACCTTGGGAGACTTTAACTGTGTAAGCAATAAATCCTGCTGGTTGGACATGTTTGTACACTTCCCTATTCCTTTCTTCTCATAATAGTGAGAGATGTCAGCTTTGTGTCAGTGTAGGAACAAGAGATATTCTGGTCCTCTTTGGTTAATTTCCCCTGGTCAGCCCCGTTAATCAGCTTCAGATCTCTCCCACCAGTGTTTATGTACCTCCTCCTGTATACTCTTTCCTTCTTTCAGTCTTTTTTTCCTCTCCCTCTCAACTTTCTCCTAACTTTTATCACCCAATAATGTAGGCATGGGTTGCTTATCTCTTAATTATGATGTCAGAAAAGTATCACTTTTCTAAATCCCATCCCCGCAATTACCTAAAGGGGGCAATATTGGACTAGAAATAATTTTTGACTTTTCCTTAAAATTCCAATATTATTCCTTAAGATGACCTCTGACCTAAGACTTTAACAAAACCATAAATTTAATAGGCTGGTCTGTTCTATGGCAGCATCTATCAGACTTACTAGCTCTTAATAGATATATAGCTTTGAGAAAATCTGAACCATGGCAATTAAATGTTCTTCCAAATACCTTGAGAGTGAAGTAATTGGTACTAAGACCACAGAGGTTATTCACATATTCTTTCACTGATAACAACATAACAGTATACCCAACCTAATTATTTGTACTTAAAACAAAAACCCACCAGATTAATAATATATATTAATATGTTTCAATGAGTAAAACCAAACAATATATAATCAACCAAACAATATATAATCAATATAGGTTGAATATTGTAAGAATATATATAAATATTAGAGGTGCACCAAAATAGAAATATAAAAAACGAAACTAAACCGAAATAAAAAAAATTGTCAGGCCGAAACCGAAAATGTTTTTATTTTAATTGTTTTCAATTTTTTAAAGAATATTTTATTTGTATTTATTTTTTATAAACTTTTAAATTTTTTTATATTTTTATTCATTTTTATTAAATATTTTTTACTTTTACTGTTAGGGGCTTCGGGGAAATATTAGGGCTCTAAACAGACCCCTGATATTTCCCTTTTAAAAATAGAAAAAGAGATTGAGAACACAGAGTCCTCAATCTCTTTTTATGTATCCCCTGTTATCAATGAACAGGAATCCTGAGTGCTCATGTTCATTGAGAACTTGAGAACATTGTTAACTATAACTACAACTATGAATGAACAGGAGGTGATTTAGATCACTCCTATTCATTCATAATTGAGGATATAGTCAACATACCGTATCCTCAATTATCTACAAACACTCAGCGATCGCTGAGTGTATCTCGCTCTCCTCTCTGACACGCTGTCACAGGAGGCTGAGCAAGCGGAGCAGGGAGGAGAGCCCAGCCTCCTGTGACAGCACGGGCTGTCTCCGCCCCACACCGCTCTGCCGGACTGTGATAGGCGGCTGAGCGGTGTGGGAGGAGAGACACGGGCCACTCACAGCGCTCGGCCGGCTGTCACTTTCTCTCCTCCCCGCTGGGACGCAGAGCAGTGCCCAGCATTGAGGAAAGAAACCTGGGATGCCAAAAGTGCCATTTTCGGGCCAATATGTTTCGGCGGCCGATTTATTGGTGCATCCCTAATAAATTCAAAGTAAAGAAAAATATGTTAAATTTTTCAATTAAGTAAGCATGTATATGCTTCATGCAATATTAATAATACAATAGAAAAGATTGCTAATACAATTTCTTGCAATTAATAGTACTTATTCATGAGGCAACTTTTATGATGAGTTCTTTTTCCAGTAATGAGAAGAAAAAAAAAATCATAGTCTCTTTTGTTAAGTTTGAGACATGATGGTTATCAGTCTCATTATAACACAGTCTGGCCCCATTGCCAGTTCTTATCTTGTGGTTGTTTTCTGGTACCCCCACAATTTACAACCTGGGAATGTATGTGGTAAGGCTCTTAAGAATTGCTGATTTTAGAGTCTTTGTCCAGGAACCATGAACGCACATTGACCACATATACTGATATAACAGACAGAACAAAGATGGCTTCCAGGATGCCCATGTTACAATATGTAGAATAATATGTATAGGCCTTATAGTTTAATTTCTTTTTAGGCTCAATAGTTCTGACAAGACAGTTCATGCAATATGCTTATGAACTGTGAACTTCATGACTGAGCTTTTTTTCAGTTTTTGTCTGTTTATGACTGACGCACTTTTTAAATTTTTGCTGTGTGATTCTTCCACAGCAGTAATGTACTTTCTTACTAAGTGCACCCACACATATTTTGTTTTTTTAGAGGACCGTTAGGGCTATATATTTATATTGCATATGTGCATCTAATGCTTCACTTGCTGGTAACAGATATACCTGGCCACGCTTCGGGATCAGCCTCCAACCCTGCCTACTCCTGCAGCGTCACGCTTCTCCTCCTCCAGCCCATCTGTCTGAATGAAGCCGCAGTTTTTGAAATGCTCTGTGTCTAGGCATTGTAATGGATGAGAGCATTTCTCTGCACACAGCCTACCTCTCTTCACCTATTCCACCCAATCTGCAGTTCATCTGAGCACAATTTCTCAGTCCCTGACTGCAAGTGCACAGTAACCCCTCAGCCACCAGGACTCATGATCAGAGTTTGATCCTCTGCTCACTGAACCTGACAGCACAGGGAACCACTATTACTCTGCTTCTCAGGTGGCAACACAACTCAGCAATTCTCATCCTCCTGGACCCACTTCAGCTGATTCCTCATTTCTCATCTATGGAACACTTCCACCCTCTCCAGAGCAGCTAACTGCAAGTACTCCGTCAGCTATTAGGTTGCTTATTGCTATTAATCCACTATATGCTGTTACATCTCTGGCAGGGGGTTACTAGTCGCACTGTTCCCAGGGTTATACTGTGTGCTATAAACCAAGAACTTAATCTCCTGTTTGAGGCAATACAGACTGTTACTCACTGAGTTTGGGTGCTAACCCTCTCTTATGAGGGGTATGATGCAATACTACTTGCT